ACATCACCGCTGTAGTTGTTATTCTAAGTGTTGTCACGAAAACATCTAAGAAAAAATCGTTTTTTCCACCTCGAAAATGTATATACAATCCAAAAGGTGGCGATCGAAATAAATTAAACTCGAAGAAGGTTATCGTATATGATATTTGAAAAATATTCACTCGAGTGCAGACTAAAACACTACTTATAGTTTATTTACTCCATACAGTAGCCAATGCATATGCGTAGCGTGAAAATTGTGCAAGTGATTTTTAATTAAACTCAAAAAAATGGTACGTGATAAATTATTATTATTTTTTTAACACAAAATTTAACTGCTCAATCATAAGCAACCATTTAGGGTTAATGTTTTTGAGTTGTTATTTTACAGAAATTAATAAACGTTTAAATGTTAAGCGCTTTCGCTGTTACACAATTCTGACACGAAGTACATACGAAATTCAAACGGTACGCGTGTCAAACGTTAAAGTGCACAACTCAGTCACTTTACGTAGTGGTCATGTAATTAGAATTGAATCTCATTGATGACGAGACAAACCAGTTTAGCACTAGAGATGCAAATAATGATACACGTCAATGTACCATTAGTATTGGCAGATGTTGCTAATTTCGATATTAAAATTGAGAGGTGTTGCCACACAACGCGCCATGTGTCATAACGGCCATTTATTCCACAACACCTGTTAGTTTTAACAGTCAAATGTGTATTAGCAATTATTTAACAATTTAATTATTCTTTTTAATTGGCTGTATATATCAATCTGGTACACTTTGAGGTCATTATATAAAAATCGATAAAATGTACGCAGGTAAATAGTTATGTTATGTGTAAACCATAAAAGCTTTTACGATCGTACTTTTACAACGGCAGTCTTATTTCCGGTCGGGCGATTTGCATTCACGCGCTGATCCAAACGGTTTTATTCTTCATATTTTGTTTGAATAACAAAAAAAAAAAAAAGGTTCAGGCGATTTTTTTTTTTTACTGTTTAGTTAGAGCACTACTACTTTTTGGTGGATTCGTTTTAATTTAATAAAAATTCGTGCGACACTGGTTCGCGTGACTTTGCGCGGTCTATACGCTACCGAGTACCGCGTGTGTATTTGAACACAACAATAATGTTGCGCTTGTGACGCAGAGGAGTTGTGGCAGTGAAATGTTCTAAAATTAAAGTGTACACACACATAGACTTTTACATACTTGCGGTGCGCACCTGACAGCCCTGACCACCGGCACCGCCGTCTACCGCCTGTCAGATGGACCGGACCGATAAGCAAAGTCGGGGTGCGCTTACGCACACAACGCGAGGCCGCCCGACTAATGTTCGAAGTGAGTCCGCCTGTCTGTCGATTTCGTAATAAACTCACGTGGAAAACAATATGTAAAACAACCGCAGTGGCGTCCGTACGGTCTGTTGTACGAACACAATCGACCGACTCGGGTAAACGACAACTGGAGATTTTTCCGCGGCCAACGAATTATCGACCGCCAAAGTCAGTCGTTTGCGAAGATTCTGCAACACAACACTTTGCGCGGTCGTTTGCATGACAATAACGTGTCGGCCGAACAGCAGCGTTTGTTCGGCTAAAAGCACTCGGCCGTCGCGCTGATCCCGACCGCGTTTTTCACAGTGTCTTGTTTGTGGGTTATGCAAGTCGTCCGCAGTCAATTTGGTTAATGGCATTTGGTAATAGTCGAGGGTCTCACTTTCCGGGGTGTCGACTCGAGTTTCCAGCAGCCGCCCCTCTCCTCCCCGTAATCGCCGTGTCGTTAGTGCCGTCTGTTTAAACATGCGCGTGTATAATGCGAGCCTACCGGTTCAGTTGGGGTCAAAAGCAAAAACATAATAGAAGGAAAAAAAAATACTTTGACGTCGTTCAAACGGTGCGCTTTCAATGACGGCATAAATATTGTGCCAGTGGAGTAAAAAATCGATTAAAACGTCTAAATTGTCGCACAATCGGCGTAATCGTATTTAATGTACAGAATAAACGTTGGCAGATTAACTCGTATAAAACCGTCCGTGTACATAAAAAGCGGCTTCCACGGGCACACTTTGTCTCCCACGAGTACGCGCCTTCGATGAATTTTTCTAGTGCCTCGGCTACGTTATATTTCAAATTTGAGCCGTACACGCACTCGCAACAGGTTGTCATACTTTTATTGATATCAAACTACGCGGGTGGTCGTATTATGAGATTCGCGATTAAAATACTCAGATTAGCCAAATAAAAATATCATGTCAGTATGACATAATGTACATCGTCGTATTGGGTGAATAGGTCACTTGCACAATGAACGATCTGCGCCTTCTATACAATTGTGTTTTGACCTTATCAATGCGGAACGTCATTCAATATTATTTGACGATTTCAAACGAATTTTGAAAATATTTCATTCTTTTTCGGTTACTCGTAGCGTGGCAAAGTGCTTTTGTTTAAGTATACAGCTTTACTTTTTTTCCTCGTGCAATAAAACATCAGTTTGGTAAGAGTATAGGACGTTTTGATTCAATCGAAAACGTGAATTCCGGTCCAATGAAATAAAATGGAATTGTCAACAAAAAGGGTCCGTATTTAAAAAAATAATAATTACGCGTCCGACCACTATCCGAAAATGACGTTTATAAGAACTAGGGTGTAAATTAAAACTAAAAAGTGCGGTGTTCAAATATAATAAACAAGCGCTATTTGCGTGCACTCGTTTCGTTTTTTCCTGCGGTTATCCTAATACTCAAAAAAGGCACTATCCCCCCGAGTGGCCGATTCTAATTAAAACATATATAATTATCGACGGTAGAATAATAATGCTGTTTCTTTGTACACACGACTCGGCCATTAAAAAAAATCCGGCAATTTTTTTTCTCCTAGTCTACAAAAAGATTACTCGAATAAGATTACCCGATGCACTTGCGTTGTCAAACCAATGTTGACTCGATTAATTAGCGGTAAAACGATTGAATCTGTGGACTACTGGCCAATTACAACCAGCGGTATTGATGTCGATACAGTTTGGTGTTGCGGCCGCAGTGTAATAAAAAATACGTGTTGTTATCTGCGCGTGACGGGACGTCCATTGTCATTGCCCAACCGACAACAATGAAACGCGTACAAGCGATTCGGTTTGTTTGGTCAGCAAGGGACGACTGTGTGTGCGTATGTATACGATTACGCCATTTCATTGTGAAAATCGGATCACGTCACTCGGCCGGGAATAAAGTGACATAAACGTACACATATTGTATATTCTCGACCACACTCCTTCCTGCGGTGGTCGCACCGTTCCCAACCCTCTCGCTTTCTATCCGTGGTGTCTCTCTGTACCGTCGGTAAACAAACGGAACGCGTTTTTATCCGCGACGGTGTCCCGTCGCGAGGCAACGGAACGCCGCCGGCTAACGTACCACATTCTTGTTGGACCCGTAAAGGTGTACTCGTGTAACAACAATAATGACAAAGACGAAAGAAATATTTTTGGCCAACATCTTCTAAACGATTGCGAGCGGTCGCACGTGACCCTATTACCTCTACGTTTATTTGCACAAAACATTGATGTGCCCTAAACCCGGTTGTGTAACATGGTACTCCTCTAAACTAGTGACCACCGCATACCTTTTTCGTATATGTTTGTGTTCCCACGGTTCGAGTGGTATAACGTACTGGAAGTCGTTCGAAAGGATTGACCGGAAAAATGGATTTCGAACGGAGAGGGAAAATAATTATTGGCGCGCAGGGAGGGCGAGTACGAATGAGATAGGCCGGCGAGAAGATCAAGTACGACGCGCCGCGATGGCAAAAGGGTTTAACAATTACGCTCAATTACTTTTTAAACGATGGCTTCGCTTATAAGCCATGCGGTCGTTAACAGCCAATTATTGATGCGCTTCCGCTGCCGCGTTCCGATCGATTCAATAAAAACGTCGCCCTTCCAGTACTGTTTTCACATAATACGGTACACACACTATTGTTTTCTACGGTACTCTGAAAACGACATTAATATTGTCTCGCGCAGTAATGACTGTTCTCAATGGTTTTCGACAAAATAACGTTTGCCGGCCACACTAATACACTCGTATCGTGTTCGTTGCGCGTTTTCATTAGGAACTTTGCATTTGAATAGTATTAACTGCACGTCATAAGCGAACGACACATCTAATAAACGACACCAACTCGAATTTTTTAATAAGTAATCAGTATTTCGATTGACTTTATTCGTTGGAGCCAATCACAACTTATAACAGAAAACGATTAATGTAACTGCGACCTTTCTTGACGTTAAAAATACTGAATTTTTATGATATATATTATGCAGTTCTCCGTGTAATAGAGACTTGTTCATTTTTTAAGAATAATCATTTTTCCACTAGAGGCACTACAGTCGTTTCGATATAATTCTATTTAAAATTAATTAATTCCAGCGACTGGACCGTACTGTATATAATTATAACGCCAATAGATTTTTAAAAAGCTGCCGACTCTTATTTTTTATATTACAAACAACGTAAGATATTGAAAGATAAAATGATAAGCTAAATTTTACTGTCATCTTTTTTGCACGATATTTCAATTCTAAAAGCCCTTTTAAAATTCTAGTAAAACTCTGTCGATTGGACATTGTTCACATAGTCTCAATTTTCACCGACAAAATACTATGTAAATATAGTGATTATTGTGTTAGCCATTAATATGATCAATTTTTTTACTCGAGTTTTAAATATTAAAATGTAGAAATAATTTTAAACATCCCAACCAGTTTCTCCATTAGAATTAATGGATTTATTTTTTCTCGATAAATGTTATTATTTGGTAATGCTAAATATTCGATTATTCGTGCTTGAAAAAATGTTTGAAAATACTGTAAACAAGAAATTTAAACTCACGTCTCAACCATTAACTGAAAATCCAATATTTTCACTTGTAGTATGTACAACCTACTGCGCGATCATTTTTTAGAAAATTTAACTATGTAAAAAGTATCTGTTACAAATTTAAACAACTCACCCGCTGGCTTAGGAACGTTTCGTTTGACTTGCATCCATTTGTATGTTGGCACCGCCGTTGGCGCGACAGAACTGTGCTTTTGGTGCTGAAGCTGATTCTGAGATGTACCATTTTGTCCGCACTGCTGTTGCTGTTGCTGTTGTTGGTGTAAGTGATGTTGATGAACTACATGTTGAGGTTGACTAATCTGGTGCTGTTGGTAGGTTGCCGTGTCCTGATAAGGCGACGAACTGTCTTGGGCACCAAAACAATGGGGAGTAACTTCTTGTTTGATACGGGGACATCGTTCGTCTGTCACCGGCGGTGTTTGCTGTTCGTGGAGGTGATGATGTTGGTGATGGTGAGGGTGATGATGATTCAAGTGCATATTGAAAAAAGCGTTGTCCACCGATGTACCACAATAAGACTCGGTGTCTTCACGGCCGTAACTGGCATACGGTTTGCTTCCATATCCAACTTCGTCAGTACCGTACGCCCCGTAATCGTGACTGTGGTGTCCAATGTTAGCCGTCACGGTACCGCCGCCAACACTACAGTCCAAATTCGTGTAACTCAAACCGTCTGAAGACGTGATGATTACGTCCGCTTCTGTGGCAGCGGCCGTTTGATGGTAACCACCGTCGGTAGGCTGCTGCGTCGGATCGGACCCGTACGCACCACCGGCGGATGCGTCGCTGTAGTAAGTCCTGTAATCTGACGTACCGTTCTTAGGATAATAGCACTCGGCGTACACTGAAGTGTCCAGTGGCGGCCTTCCCAAGCACTGTGGATCGTAATCCAGTCCACCATAATAATCGTCACCCATCGAGTGCGTGTACATGTTGGCGGCACAAGTATTTGAGTTGTGCATTCCCATGTTAGGTGTCTAAAAAATTATTTAAAAACATTAATTTCTTCACGGGCACAATTTTCAATAAGAAAAACTAAAAAGTTTGCTCTTAGTTTATAATTGGATTGACGAAAATTTGGATTACCGAACCATATCGTATCACAAACCAATCTACATTGTTTGGAATTTCACTTTTTACATTCAGTCACTAGAGTTCATTTTATACGATATTAATACTGTAAAAATCCAATCAGATTTCAAACACCTACATTAGAATATCATAATAAACTCGGATAGTAAAAAAATAAAATATGTTTGCAATTATTATAAAAGTAAGCCTTTTGTGTTACTTATAAAATAATTATAAAAATACAAGTGACTCTACAGCAAGACATTTTAGTCAATAATCATAAAAATGACTAATCGGCGTGACCCACCGAAATACTCAAATCGCCTCAAGTACCTAAAAATGTAATACTGTTTATTTTTACAGTTGCAAGCATCATAAATGTACTTTAAACAGCTAAATTGATAATTTAATTAAAATAACACTTAATTTTGAAAATTTGAATAACCTAGAAGTACAAATGAGTTTTGCAAGTTTTGGAACATTTTTGAGATAAATATTTAAAAATGGCATTCTTTGTCTATTGCAAAGTATGTTTTTTAACAAAAAAATACACCAAAGTATCTTCAGGAAATTAGGCAATAATTTAGAACAAACATTTTTATTGAGAAATACATATATTTTCGAAAAACCATGTCATGCGTGTTGTATGCTTTTTACTATTAAGATTATATTTTTAACACAAAAAACCATCTTACGATTGTTAAAAATTTAGTAATATTATAGCTGTTCATAAACTAATTGCTACGTGTATAATTACATATTACTTTTAATATTATAACCGGAGAATATTTATTTACGTGACGTCATTGGCATTTATGTTTTAGTAATTTTACTTGCTGATATTCAATAAATCTATGACTTTAAAACTATAATATTTTCTAAAAATTATCATTTTAAATTATGTAGCTTATTCTATATTTAGATGCTAAAAATTCAACATATGATATAATAACAAAAAAATGATTTTAGTGGTATTAAGTATACAAAAATTGTTAAATTTGCTACTAAATCCTTTTATTAAAAACAAAAATAAAATTGAGTTGATAATCAGACTTTTAAATTGAATTTAAAAAAATACATAATCTAATAAAAGTTATTAACAATTGAAAACACTTGAGCATTATATTTGAAAAGAACATTTACTACAATAACTTAACACTAGGCAGAAATTTTACTTGATATATTGAGAGTAATTGGTAAAAAGCAAATTAATTATTATTTATTATTTTAATAATTATTAATTCATTAGAAAAAAGTCGAATCCTTCATCTTTTCCCAGCCGTCGGGCTCGATGATGTTTTTAATGGAGTAAATTGACGTATCTTAGCTTAATTTAGGTAATGATTAAATGAACTATCTTTGTACTAAGCAATTAAGAATGAGTAACTACTTGCTCCTTTAGGAAATGTTCGATGTATTATTCAATATTTATTTGGTTTACCGTGTAATTTAAAACAATTTGAGTGTAAACATATTTTAAAGGGTAATCCCATTAGGTATTGTACTGGATGATTATTATATTAATTTTTTTTTCTAATTGAGATATTTCAACTAGTTTTTAGCAAATCATTAAATAGTATGCTTATAGAAAATTTTTTTATATAGAAATTTCATATACAAATAACATACAAAAAACTATTGTCCCTACTTCATTTTTATTCAAAAGTTTTCCTATCATCTAATTTAAATAATATTTAAAATTACAAATAATATTTATTCGTAATGCATTTCTTTAGTTATCGCAATAAAAAAGTAGTGTTGATTGACGCTCAAGTTAAAACCTTACGCCGTAAAACGACAATATTGTATTGTTTAAAAAAGATATCAGTGCGATTTGAATAAACATATTTGTTCATTTAAATTTAAATTTTATTTTATCATTTTTTGGTCAAATTATTTTTAAATAATTCCAAAAAAGATTCGCAAATATTACTACATTTTTAACATTCAAGATGATCACATCGCCTGACATAAAATTATTTTTATAAAATATTTTTACCGTTTCAACATTTCATTCAGTCAGTTGAAATGAACTATCTTTTTATGCCAATAGGCTAACCCGTCTTTTAAAAAAAAGGTGTAAAAGACTGTTAGGATAACCTGATTGGTCTTATACAAATATATCTGGTTCCCTATTAGATATTGCCATTATTAAAAACACACTGCATACTAATTAGGATGCAAGGTGACTGAATAATATCGACTATAATTGTACAATCGTGTAAATTTCTACGTCTTTGAGGGAATAAAAAAAAAAAGTATTATGCATTAAAAAAACTGAACTGCATATAATATCATTCATTTCAGTTGAATTTTTAGTAAAAAAAAGAAGACAATCGCACTACAATTTCACGCAAATAGTTATTTTATTTAATGTTGTATTACGTAAGAGATTATTTACAATTCTGCATAACCTCCAAAGTAATAAATTGAATAAAACCGACAATGGTTGACAACATTATTAATTTGTGTATTAATGTGTAATTAATTTGAAGCTTCATCAGAGGATTTTTAGATAAAAAAAATGAAATTAATTATGATTAATTAATCAAAACTCTCTTCAAATTTGAAAATTCGGAGTGGTCGATTTAGAAAGTCAGAGCTTATCAATATCATTGTGATTGTTATCATTTTTACAATGAAAAAACATTGCGGTATATAAAAACTTGCCTTCTGAAATACTTTTTACGAATTATTTATTTATATATTCCTTGCATGTCACTACTTTGTAAACTATTACTAAAAAGTCAGCTCAAACTTCCAAGAAATGTTATTACAATCTACAGACGATGGTAAATTTTCAAAGTACAAAGTAGACAAAAACACGATTCGTACAACAAAACTATAAATAAATACTTCAGAATAATGTAAAGATTAAGTAAATCACGACATCAATGAATAATAATCTTTTAGTACTAGATTAAGTACAAGAACAAAATTAAAATGTATCATTAGAAACTAAAACCAAATGTTTGTATGGTCTCACGATACTGGTAATATTATTAATGAATAAAAAAGTATTCAATTAATATCAGAAAACATTTTTCGCGATAAAATTGATATTTCATTGCATTTTTTCTTTTTAAATTGACACACTTAACAAAATGGTTGTGTTAAGCATATCTGAATAGTGATACAACAACTATAAACTACTTGTGTGTTGTTTAAAAACTTTTAAATAACGTCAGACAAACAATAATTTACCGGTATCTGCATTGAACTATTTATATTGAAAAAAAAAAAAAATTAACAGTCCTTTTTTAATTTTAGCGATTGACAGATTTCTGAAATAATCCATTCAATTAACCATTAAAATTTTCTGTGGTCTTTTTTTTAAGACTCTCGTGATCTTGTAAATTCATGTCCGATGTTATTGTTCAATAATATTATGTGTCGAGATTGACGTACAAGAGCACAACGAGTGTCATTGACGACGACTAAGTGATGTCACAATGTTACTTTGTGAAATCGTTAGCACATGGTGTTTTCAAAGCCATTAAAATAACTTTTTTAATAAAAAAAACTTTTGTTTGGGCGGGGGGTAGTAATTTTTATTAAAAATATTCGAATTAAAAAAAACTTGTAAGTTTTACAATAATATTTACTAACACTAATTGAAACAACTACAAAAACAAAGTCTTAACTTCAAATTAAGATTTTTTTCCACATTCAAAGTAATATCTTTTAATCATTTTCATTTATTTTTTATGATTAAATAATGAAATATTCATTTACATTTTTAACTTAAAATTGTTTTTAGAATTTGAAATTTGACCCTTGTTATAATCACTTGGACAATTTTTATTTTTTAACAAGGAATTTTACACTTGAACACTTGTTTTGAATAAGATATTTACTACTTAATAGCAGATAAATCTTAAATTAGATTAAAAATGATAACTTCCAATAGTAATGATCACGATGTATAATTAATAAAACTGTTTTTTCTTAATAAATTATGTTTACTAACTATAGCAAATTTTGATATAAATTTAATGTCAACATTTTAACGTGATTTCTAAAAAAGTTTTATAAAAAATCCGATAAAAATACAACACATTTTACAAACATTCCAAATAGGGTCTTTTTCTAATAAATAATTCATGCAATTATCTTAAATAAAATATAATATTGTGTTATATTACTGCTGCATAAAAATGTCAGAAAATCGTAAATATATTTATTTTTTTAATATTAGACTCTCCAAATAATCATTATTTTTGTTATAAAAAACTTTCGGTTACTTTCAAATTTTATTAAACTCTATTGTTAGAATTACATTGTAAAACTCTATCAAAAACTAATTTTATAAAGCAGTATTTAATAATCAAATCAATGGCACTAATTATCTATAAATGTTTTAAACAAATCTTAGTTACAAGCATTCAAGTCTTCTAAGATTTACGTTTTTTTCTTAAATGTGTTAATTATTTGATATTTGTAGTTATTTTTTTTTTCACATTTAAGTTAAGCAACCGGCGATATAATTAAAAAAGTAAACTCTAGTTAAATAAAGTTAAATGGTATTTTTTTTAAGTGCCTTTTATTGTATTTCGCTAGTATGAAAGAATTGTTAAAAATCGTATCTCACCTGGTAGATAATCGGCCTGTTCATCGATATCATCACTTTATCCAATAGTAATAGCGGCGCATTCCACCGCGAACGATATTTCTAAACTTAATGACAAACAATATTATCGACTTTTTTTTTTTTTAATGTTTCACCATTAAAATATACAACGCAGTCGATTAAAAAAACAGTTTGATTCACTCGCAAAGTTCGTGTAAATGTATCCGATCGACAGAACGACCGACGGGCGAACTAACACGGAGCTGGTGCCAACTGGTTGCATCCGTTGCGACTAGTGGACGCGTGGCCGTCGCTTGCTACGTGGACGCGGCTTCGGCGGCGGAGGAGGAGTCTGCGCGGACGGATGGGTGGCGAAACGCCCGGCCAATGGGTGGACACCGGTCCATGGTGCACAGCATCAGCAGGCGTCCGGGTGGCACAGGAGGGTTTCGCGATGATCGATTACCCCGGGACGTCGCGAGAACCAATCACAGACGCAGCATTTGCACGCGGGCCACGTCCATGATGTGTTTACAACCCCATTCACGTTGTCAATGACCCACTTTGGTCTATTGTGTTTACCGCGGGAAAGCCGCTGCCGCACCAGTGCCATTTCCACGACGCGTGTTTGTGTACAGCTACCCTTAACAACACAATAGGCCTGATGTATAGGTCGGATTTACAAGGAGACCTATCGGCTGCGCGTTCAATGGCTTTTACGTATAGAGCCTCCCTCGAGAGAGTGTGAATTTCCAAAAATTATTTCATGTTTTTATCGCCATAACAATGCAAACCGACTTTGTAACGGTCCGATCGCGCACAACACTATTGTGGATATTTAATGCTGAAGTTTGCAGCCTGCCGATTGACTAATTCAATACATCACATTTTTTTTTTCTTGAACCAATTTGTGCATCAATAACTATGCAAAATCTAACGACTTTGTTCATCTTTTGTGTAATGCGAAAAATTTAACAATAAACAGTCTAGACGGAGTCTTATATTTTCAAATTGTTTGAATTTATAAGTAATATACATGTTTTCCGTAAAATTTTCGTAAAGTAAAAGAATTGCAGCCATAAAGGATTATTATGATTAGAGTTGTTTGATTGGGGCCCTAATTCCCATAGACGAATTTGTAATCCTTACAGATAAATCGCATTTAAATGTGGATGAAGACGACGTAATATGGTGGAAAATCTGTCAACTAGCACTGCCATCCAGACTAATAAAAAAAATAGTATAGGGTTACAGTCCCTATAGACAAATGTTCAAACTATACCCATGTCTTCAAGTGCTAATTGTGAATGAAACCTGAATTTTCAGGCCACTTATTATACATAATTTATGTTGTAAAACTATTTGATGTTAATTGAAAATCCAGTGAATATACCTTAATATAAATTAAGTGATGATATAACATACATAATGATTCACTGTAGTAAACAACCGGCCAAAAATAACTTAGAACCACTTATGATCACTCAGATTATACGAATATATAAATAATTCTCTAAACATTCCAAGATCTAATTATTATAAATTTTTTTTAAGTAAAAAAAATAATTGAAAATTGACTTAGAATGAAGCATAATAATGTGAAACGTAAAAATTATTCAAACCAACTGAGAACCTTTTTTAGTTTCGATGCGAAGCTAAGATGGTTTGGTTTTTTTTCATTGAATAATTTTTGTTGTACAAAAATAATAATTCATTATGATCAACAACATACATAATTAACTAATTGACTTGTAATTAAAAAAAAAAGCTGATAATGCAATTTTCTAATACATTAAAGATATTATATCTGAAAAAGAAGCGTCTAAAGAAGTTCCTACATTTTCTAATACTAAATGTAAACTAGAAGAATACGGCAAATCTTTGAAAAAAGCGTTAGTGCTCTCTCGAACATTTTAACGAAAAATTTTCGAGTTTTTCAAAGTCAAATAAACGTTATAAAAGTCATTCAAAAAATCAAAAGTCGTCGAACAAACGTTCAGTTGGAGGTGAATTATTCGTTTCATAAACTGATAATGATTATAACGGCGACGACGGATATGAGAGCGATAGACTTCAAAACGACTCTTTTCCTAATACTGTCAAACTATGGAGACGAGTCTATTAATATTTGTATTAGCTACAATTTTTCCCTCTCAAATAACATAACATTACAACAATACACACAAAATGTTATAATATTAGTCTATTGATATTTGTATTATTTTCTCTCTGAAATAACATAAAATAATAAATTATTACAACTATATGTATTTATGAAATGCTTTAATATTATATTAAATTTAAGTTATAAAAATGGTTATTTATTGTAAATTAGTTTGGCAATCTACATAGTTACAGTATCTCTACCATTTTATTAAACGTTGTATTATTAATGACGAGAAAATCCAATTTTATATTAACGTCGCAATAATGGCGACTCTCTCTATCGTTAAACGTGTCGTTCCTCCGAAAAAAATGAACTACTGTATCGACCATGTAAATATTAGATCATCACTGTATGAAATTGCTGATGAGTTTGGTAACCACAATGAACCAGAAGTAAAACATTATTTGAATGACGTGCACTGCTATAGTTAATGATAACTATGAATGTAGAAGGGAAGAACAAACAAACTTTTCTTCTAAGTAAAAAATTTCAGTGAATTTAGTGCGACGATTTTGCTGCGGATGTAGACAGTGATATCGGTTGCAATTTTGAAGAGAGTAAAGATGAAAACTAGAATGAATGACGCTCGTTTTTCTTTTGTTAATAAATCATATATCAAGTTTTTTTTTAAGCTGCATTATACTTTATTTTGTAGATAATTTCATTTACAATATTTTTCTTTTTTTGTGTATGTGTTTTTTTTATTATAGATTCTTTATAACGCATGCATTTTTTCATGTACTGTTTAAAAAATTATTAAGAAGTTAAATAATTCTTCGAGGAAACATAAAAAAGCATACATTCTTTTACACAAAACCAAATTCTTGTAAGTCATAATTCGAAAATACCTTTAAATAAATGTTTTGTGAAAAATGTAAATCGACTTTTTTTACCTATCCAAATATATTAGTATTTAGAACGTTATATTAAGAAATATCATTAGAACATCGAGTCCATTACGTTTACGTGTTAATTTTCATGGTACACCCTTTTTCTTATTATTTCAATCTAAATTAACAGTTTCATCGCTTAAGTAATCGTGTCGTGTTAATTAAACGAAAACACCCCTTTTAACATTAGAGAATTATAGTATATATATATATATTTATATAATCGGGTATAATTAAGAGAAACACCGATGATCGCCTAAGGGGTCTACCAACTGTCATAAATTATAGTAAGCCCGCAGTTAGTCTTGACAAATTGGCTTGTCTTTCTTCGCACGGGACAATCGTAGATGACGTCTGTGCCGGTTTGAAACTTTTTCAAGTTAAACTTCGAATACAGTTTACAGAGAATTCTACCAATTAGTTAAAATTAAAGGTCTTCTGATTCAATTTGTTCTAAAAGTTGAATTCAAAAGTTTTACAGTTAAACACTTGGGACTTCACGGATTGGAAAAAGATTTGTAAATGTATTTTTAAAAAAACGAAATAATGTTTGTACCGTTTTGAACTCTGGAAGTACATAATAATACACAGATATTCACTCGTGTGTTTTATGAGTTTTATATGAAGTAATTATGAAAAAAACGTAATACTTTGTGATTTGAAAAAATTTAACTTGGCGTCGAGTACACTATTCGGTTAAATCAGTACGATTTAACCTTGAAAATTATTGAGATATTTGCGTGTACTTATAAATTTAAAAAAAACCATTCAAACTATTATTACTGCGCGTATGTTGTATAGTTAGACGTCTCGGTGCATAATATAATCACATAAAATACAAGCGAATGCTTTAATAACAAGATAATTTCCAGAACTCGTTCACTTAAACGGCTGATTGATTATGTCATTATTATTAAACAAACGAGTACCGTTAGTTCGTGTTGTACTATCCATGTTATTGCTACGACAATCCTTTTTGTATGCATTGCAAGAAAACCATATTTTATCACTCTTGGGAATTTTTCGGTCGTGATGTTTAGTATGACCAGCAATTTTTGTCGGTTATCCCCAAGGAATTCGTCCCACAACCTGGCGATTCCAATAAGTATTTGTAATTCGATACGGTCCAGTCTCTGAGCCTACACGTATGCAAAGGGGAAAACAACCAATTGATATAAGCTTTCCCGCGGGACAAATATTTTTTCCGACAATATGTTTACATTGTTAATACACTGGGGTAAAAAACGAAAGATTGTCGTCTGGACNAATATGTTTACATTGTTAATACACTAGGGTAAAAAACGAAAGGTTGTCGTCTGGACCACACGCATTTGTCGACTTCTTAAGGTATCCAACTATAACTAGTGTAAAATAAAACAAAAATTAATTTTGAAAACATTTTGACTCTCTCGTCATCGTTCTTTGTTTGCTTATTTTGGAATGATATTCTGCAAGGATTAAATTTTTTCAACAAATTCGGTTTCGTTTATATTTTGCATTCCGCCAAATACAAGACGTTAAAAAACAATCTGTTCCTATTGAACTTAATGCTATTAAAGTGTCGAAAATTCAACGATAGCCGACGGATCGAAATGATATTATAAAGTTATAAATCAAACATATAATATTACTCAAACAGACGTCATTCTCTGGAGGCATACCGTGTAACAATGCAATCTGTTATGTGCGTTTGCATGGGATGTGACGTTATTGAAGAAGAATCCCGTCAATAATGTGTCAAAGGTGTACGTGTGTGCCATTAGAACAGATAACAATACTCTTTTCCGCCGCTGCCGGTTAACTTGACAGCGACCACTCACGCGTACATCTCGACTGCAGGTAACTATCCGGTTCCTACACATTATACAATTTACTTGGATATCTGTATTTAACATCTAATTCACACACTCATTGGGAGATCCAACATGTCCAGTACACCCTGGGGGTCTTAGATTTTGCGTAAACATATCACAGTATGTGCCCGTTAAGAATTGACGTGTAATTTTTATTAGTTTCGACGGATTTCATAGAATGCCAAGGTTTTCTTTCACACTAATTAGACTATCCTGAATTTCTAAGTGTTAATATGTTAACACAATACAAAGATCAATCACTCGCTGGCCACTAGAAATATTTTAACATTGAAGATTCTATCCAATTTTTGGTAAAAAAAAAATTAACCATAAAATTATACACGATTTAAGCGAAATATTGATAGAACTTTATATTTATAAGCATATTATTTTCCTTAAAAGTAAGTGTCTCTCAAAATGTTGGGTACAATAAAAGGCCATGCTTTGGCAAAATATTAAACATAAAATTACCTTTTCCGTCTAATAGAATAATAATTAATGTTTTACCCTACCCCTGCCCAAAAAAAGAAATAGTGCATTATAAATAATATGTGTTACACATAAATAGTTAAAAATTGTAATGTTTACTGTAACTTAAAATGATCGTTGTCCAAAAAAATATAACTACACACATTTTTAGCGGCTTCGTAGTGTCACCAGCATCTGTGATTATTATTAAATTGCCAGCTGAAGTGGTTATGTGTACACTCCAATGTACGTCGAAGAGGGAAATGTATGTGCGGACCAGAGGCTAGGGAGTTTTGTGCGTTGAACGTATAGAAGTCCGATGTGGTCATCGATCAAGTACGCTGTCAACCTGAAACACCCAGCGCAGGACCTGGGCATCCTTTGGTATATATACATGTGATATTATTCCGTTTTCCTCTCGGATATAACAGGAAGCCCGGGAGCCAACCAATTAAAACAAAAATTAAATAATTGTTTCGGGTCATTGCTGAAGATTGATGGAGTTTGGAATCGCCAACCGCGTCTCCATTTACCGAACGAACATTTTCTAAATAAGACGCTAACACAACAATGGTTGTCGAACAGAAGCAAGTTTCTAAAAAAATAACAATCACCATGTAAACGTAATTTTTGTATTGTTAAAAAAAACCAATAAGAGTAATATATTATAATAATATATTTTACACTTTAAAGACACTATAATTTAATGTTATTTTATTAACGTAATGTTATCACAAGTCGATGGG